TTTACCATTATGGTAAAAATAAGGTGGATGCTTGACCTAGGAAACCAAGGGGTATTTTAGATACAAATCATATAGCTTGTTATGCTACAACAATTTTGTAGTTTAATGATATTTTTAAAACAATATTTATATTTTAATACTCACTTATGACATTATACCTTTTTATTATACCCTTTGTTGTTAGCCCAATTATATTAATTTCTACATTATACTTCTCAACGCATGGCTTTGTATTCCCTTTATATATGTACATTGTTGGTACTATGTCATTTGAAAGGCAATTAGAATGATACCATTCCGTAAGAATTTATACGTGTTATCTGAGTTACAGGGTTTTATATGGGGTACAACTTCCAAGAGCATAACTTGGATTGTATGGGACAAAACGATGAACTCCAAAGAGCTCGGAGGACTGGGAATTGGGAGTTTAAGAGCTCTCTACCTTGTTCTTTTATCGAAATAGCAGTGACGATTTAGGGACGATATGAACACGATTTATAAAAATGTAATTAAATGTCTACCGTGATCAAAGAGGTTTGGGAGTGTTGTTTCTAGCCGTAACAGGAACATCGTTTAAAAAAGAATCAACAATATTAATATCGACATGGAGCATCTCAATATATATTTAATCAACCTCTTTTATAGGTATGATGACATTGGAGAAAACTTGAACGCGGGTAACTGGTGCTAGAGTCTAAATGGGGGAGGATAGTTCACTGTCTCATCATTAAGGAGGGAAATTAACTTACCCACCATCAAAGGAAGAGTTTAACCCCAAAAAAATAATCAAATAAATCATTCACAACGGGAAGAGCTTTCCACCACTGACAAGGTGACCACATATCTATTTTTTAGTGGAGCAATTGTTAAAAATATGAACCTCGTTTTCCTCGAAAGCATTGAAAAGTGGACAACATGGGGCTTAAAATTAGAGCTAAATGGGGTAGGGATTTATTATGGTCGGGATGCATGGGCTAACAACCTCTTGTATTGTACCTTGTAATTCCAACCTTTTGCTTGTTCATTTTTTAATAAAGTCTAGCTATTAAAAAAACATGAGTTTAAAGGATCTATTTGATCAAAACAAGTTTAATATGCGTAACAATAATGGATACAGCTGCTTAAGTATTATCACTCAAAGCTCATATGACCATTTGGGTGTAAAACCAACAAAGTGGCTGTAATGTCAAAGAGATAGCATAATGAGTTCAAGGTAAAGCTTTTCCAAAAGTAAAAAAAATGTTTACCTAGTGCATTTAATATTTGTACATTGTTAGATATTTCCTAACTTTAGTCCAGGAAACTAGCTAGCATTACATGAACCAAAAACATAACACTTCTAAGCAGATACATATATAATATCTAAAGCCAAAGTTCTACACCTGCAAACAACACAAAGACATAAGCAATATTAACCCACTGCTTGTGAATATATGATATTGTAGCAGTCCGTAAGGCAAAGACTGTTAAGTTTACTTGAGCTGTTCACAAGTCACCATTCAGAACAAAAAAAATTAAGAGACTTTAGTAATTTTTCCTAATTCGAAGATTATAGTTGAAAAGTTGAATTAAGAACTACAACTGATGGAAGTGGTGCGTATGAATTAAACTGAATAGATAAATGGGAATTGGGAAGGGGAAGAAATTAACATACCTTAGCAGAATGTAATCAAGGAGATCACGGTGCCAAACCCCGAGATACTGAAATCGATCAATTCCCCACAACTTAGATGAACTGCCTGCTTAGTCAGCGCCTCAAGATCGTAACCAACATCCCGAGCATCAATCGGTCTGTGCATGTCGATGACTTTCCACATTGCCGGATCCTTGCAAATTCTCCACCATGTTGTGCATACTTTAAGTGCACTGTTGAGTATTTCTACATCATCCAATCTCTGAAGTATATTTGCCATCAGTTCGTGAGGCATTTCCAGCCAATTTGGAGATTCCTCCATTGCATTCAAGGGGTTTACGGTGAATCAGTGAGTGTCGACGCCATTTCCAATTAACCGACATCCATTTCCAATTGACCGACGTTTCGGTTTAATCAAAATATTTCCTACATGTGACTATGAAATGTGTGAATTACAAAAGCTTCCCCTAGACTCTTGTGTGTTCTACAGAAGAAGTCCTTTTAGATAAGAAATTGCAATGTTCCACTTATCGGTGATTATTTTAAGTAAGACTGTCAAATCGGACAGTCGTGTCGTGTTTTTGTCTGACACGACACGACATAACAAAGTTTTGTATAACACGGACACGACACGACACGATGTCGTGTTTTTTTTTCATTAACACGAAAACGAACTAATTAAAATACGACAACACGACACGACACGACAAAGATAATATTACATAAACGCGACACGACACAACATCGTGTTTTTTAATGTTGACACGAACACGAATTCAAATTTTGATTTCGTCCAAATTTCGTTTCGTTTCGCGTATTTTTGTGGTGTCATGTCATAAATTGACACTCCTAATTTTAAGAGTAAACTTAATGTTACAAATATTTTATAAACACTGTCGTTATTGATGTGTTAAAGAAAAATATATGTACAATGGGAAGTGTTTTAAACAAAATATACTTTTTCAGTTTTTATACAAATAACTACTAATTCTGTAACTAATTCACTAGAAAATCACTATCGTTTTATTTTCGAGTTAAAAATGAAAAGAAGTGGAATGAAAAAGGAAGGAAAAGGGAAAGAAAGGGATAAGAATCCTCTCAATTAGCACACATTTGGACGGATAATTTCCATGGAAAAATGCATATTTTTTCCTTCTCCATTCACATTTCACTTCCTTTTTTTCCTTAAGGAAAAACTCAAGAAAACATTTTCAACCTTTTCATTCCTTAGACTACACGGTGCACCTTGTACCGCATACCGCGGTAAGCTACGGTATGCGGTATACACCATACCGAGGCATAAAAAATGCGGTATGCGGGAAGTGAGTGGTGGTTTTGCCGCTATTTAAAATCACCAAACAACACAAAACTCTCTCTAGATTCTTCCTCGACTTCGTCCGATGCGTTGGCGTTGCGGGAAACATAGTTTATAGGGGACGTCATCCACACAACACTTGCTTATTTGCAAGAAAATGAATGCGAAAGTTCGCGTAAAAAAATAAATAAATCCTCTTCTCTGGAGAGATCGTAAAGCGGACACAACCAATCAGTGAACGACTATATTTCTGATGATACAGTGTTCGCGGAAAAATTCATGCATCGGTTCCGGATGCGTAAGGTATTATTTTTATGCATTGTTGATGATATCCAAAATCATTTCCATATTTTCGGCATTGGGTTGATGGAAGAAGAGGTAAAAAATATTTCTCCACAATCCAAAAATGTAAGGCTGGAATTTGTCAACTAGCATTCGGCATAGGACTGAACTTATGGGATTAATACTCGAGGATGTCAGAGTGCATGATGCCTATACACGTTTGATGAAGCTATGATTATCCTATATCACAGTCGCTATTTACGCAAGCCTACAATTAGCGACATCCGTCAGCTATATACAACAAATGAAAAAATGCATGGGTTCCTTGGAATGATGGGTAGTACTATTGATTGTATGTATTGGGGTGGGCAATATGCCCTTGGGAAATCATATATGATGTGTCCTTTGTAGCAAATGGGATGTCATACAAGCATGGGTATTACCTTACTAATGGTATATATCCAAACAATTCATGAAATCATTTAACAAACGATTAAAGTTTAAGTCAGCACAAGAATCTGGTAAGAAGGATATCAAGCACACATTTGGTGTCCTAAAGAGACGTTGGTAGATACTCACAGTACTAACCACACCCGATGATGAGGAGGGGCGAAAATGGGCATGTGAGCATGGCCCAACTTTTTTAGGGGCCCATTTATTTTTTAATGCTATGTAGGAATCAAAATTGAATCTATCCAACACACGAAGGCTGTCCAACACCGAAGGAGACTAGCGATCATTCAAGCGAGGGTAGATTAAACGATTAGGGTTTAACTCCGAACACTATCTGCTCCGTGCTCACTGAGTTTGGTCTTCTATTACACCACAATAAAAAGGTATGCTTTCTCCGGTCAAAATCTTTCTTTGGTTATCTAAGGATGCAAATTTTCATGGTTTCTTTTCATTTATATGTTGGTCGATGAGGTTAGGCAAGAAAAACAAGTTAATTTTGGTGAAAATTTGCAGAATTTTTATGTAAGATATTAAGATAACATAGTTATAGAGAAGATTCCAAAATCGATCAATGTATATGTGGTTTTAAAGCTCTATAACCAAATTAAAAAAGAAAAAGAAAACAAAAGAATAATTGACATGCACAAAATATTAGTTTCCGATTACATGCAATGGTCTAACATATGTTGGTAGAAATTAGAAAGTATTGTTATATATGAAGTACAAAACTGATGTGTTGGGAAAATTATGTGATTCAAGGCATAGGTTAGAATGAAAAGCAAAGAGAATGAAGGGTTCTTATAGTTTATCCTTATTATTAGGCAAACCTACCTAATTTGTGATTGATTAATTGGGTTGTTATGAAAAAAATCTTAATTTTTTTGTAATTTGATTGTCTGCAACATTCACAAATTAACAACTTGACAGCAACGTTGTATTAAATCTTCAACAACAACAATTTTAACAGATCAATAGTAGGTCAAAATTATAACCCATGCATCCTTTTTTAGAGAAGAAAATCCATAATAACTTTTATAAAACAATATTATTCTACCAGCTAAAGAGACTTGACAGAAAAAAAATGTTCATTTATGTTGTTGAAATTTAAAATTATTTACGTTTATTCATATAAAGTTTATTGTCATTTTAAAAAACTTTAGTATATATAATTTAATTCGTTACACGTTGCAGCCTAAGGGACTTTTTTCCCACTCGTCCCGGGCATTTGAATCCTCAAGGCCGACCCTGGTACCGACACGATCTATGGATCATAGACGAATAAATAACCTCATGTACACATATATCATATTGCATAATATGATTTTAGAAAATGAGGGGAAAACGATTTTCCGCTACAATGAGAATGAAAATTTACCAAATGTTGAAGGAGTTGGTATTGGTTCGGAGACATACATAGCTACCCGATGGGAAGTATACGACCAACGTGGGCACCACAACCTTCGTGCTGATTTGGTAGAACACATCTTCAATGCTCGAACCAGTCCCGTTATTGACGATTTTGTTGAAGATGACTTGTTTGACGATACAGACATCAAATCAATATTGTTTGAAGGAGATTCAGACGAGAAATTTGATGGCGTGCCGAACGACGATGATTAGATGTCACATATTATTATACTATGTTTCAATTATGTTTTTTTTTTTTAATATGTATTTTGTTTAATCTTAATGAAGTATTTTCCTTTTATTATTTTTAATTTATTATATTTTCTTCAATTAACAATAAAAAACACAAAGAAACTAAAGTGTGATATGACACCCACAGTTTTTATAGGGTGTGATGAAAAATGACATGACAATTGAAAAAGTGTAATATGACACTCACCAAAACAAAGGAACATGGGTTATTTTATATGGGATTTTGTTTTTACATGATCTTACTTGCAATGATGTATTTTCATTCAAAACATCACCACAAGTCCACAACCACCTACGCATCTCCTATAAACCCATCACAAGTCAATGATTCAAACAAGGGAAAATACCGGCAATCGTAAAAAAATGGGGACTATTTTCAAAATTTAAACATGAAAATGGACATTTCCAGGTATAGACATTCATTCCGCGGAGGTAGCTCTGCGGAGCTCTGTGAAATCTATTGTAGCTCCGCCGAATGACAAAATTGTAAATAAATTTAAAAAAAAAACTCAAGATCCATTCCGCGGAACTACCTCCGAGGAATGAACTCATTCCGTAGAGGTAACTCTGAGGAATGGATCTTCAGATTTTTTTTTCACATCGATTCTTCGGGATTTATATTAATTCCCAACTAATTATTTTCATGGAAAAGATTATGATAATATGATAATCTTTTCTTGAAAGTAATTAGTTGAGGAATGAATATAAGCCCCGAAGAATCGATGTGAAAAAAATATATGAAGATCCATTTCTCGGAGCTACCTCCGCGGAATGGATCTCAGCTTTTTTTTTAATACACAGATTTATTTATGATTTTGCCATTTCGTGGAGCTACAGTAGATTTCGCGGAGGTACCTCTGCGGAATCCATGTCTATATCCGGAAATCCAATTTTTTGTGTCTATATTTTGAAAATACCCCTATTTTTTTTTACTATTGCCGGTATTTTCCCTTTTATAAACATTATTTATAATCAAAATAATTCTCTCTATTTAAAAAAAACTAAAATTAAAACCGTAGATTAAAAAATATAAATAAAAAATAAATAAAATAAAAAACGTAGACTTTCCATAAACTGTAGCCTACGGTTTGGGAAACTGCAGGTGTTAGAGAGCAAACTGTAGGTTTTACAATACATACGATTTTATATCTTGAAAATGATTTTTTTTATACAAAACACGAAATAGTAGACGATTTTGCGAAACAGTAGACAAATATAAATACCTACGGTTTCGTGGGCTATTTTGGGACATTTCCTAATTTTTGACTAAAAATTGCTAATCACTTCCTTAATTCGGCTAGATTAGTAATTACCCCCAAAAAGATAATATAAAACATTTTTCATCTTAAAAAAATGTTGTTTTCCTTTCAAAAAGCAGTCTTTGGTTCAAATTCTTGTGAAATTTATTTTTTGAAAATTGACTTTCTTTTTAAAAACTTTACAAAAAATATAGAAAGTTTTCATACTAAAAACAAAAATTTGTTCCTACATGGTGCATGTGCTTCTTAATACTCCACAAATGTCTTGCTAAATGATGTTTTTAATTGATGAACTAAATAGCTCACATATGCCTACGTACGGGCTGAAATGCAAAGATTTTGACACAAGGGACAAATAATTAAAAATACATGTTATAACTACCATGTCATGCACAAAGTGAAGATCAATCTCAAAATATTTGATGCAATGATGTTAAACCGGATTTTAAGATAAGTAAACAACACTAACATTGTCGCAGTAAACCAATGTGACAGACAAGGGTGTATAAAGTAGCTCATGAAGTAAGTTGCAAAGCCAACAAGTTTCAACAACAACATTTACATAACAACATTTACATCCGCACGATATTCAGCTTCAACACTAGATCGAGAAATAGTACCTTACGTTTAGAAGACCATGCTAAGAGATTCTGACCAAGAAAATCATAATAGCTGGAGATGGAACGCCTAATGGATGGACAACCTGCCCAATCAACATCAGAGTAAGCGATCGATCAGGCCTTGAAAAGGGGAGACATAGCGTTGAAGACCATGGTGAAAAGTGCCCTGAATGTATGTAGGGTCATGCATGTGGAGACATGAAAAGCGTAGGTAATATCTTGATGGGTGAAAGTCAAGATACATAAGAACACCTGCAAGGCTGTGTACAAAGTTGGATCAGGGGGTGGTGCCATCAAACTTGGTTGAAGTATCAAGTCGGGTACGGGTCAGTTTTCATTTATGCATGTTGGCTCGCTCTAGAATCTCTGATGCCATGTTGACTCACATAATTCCCACAAATTGGGCTTAGGCCATGCATTCCAATATATATACAAAACATAGAATATTGGCCTGGTATGAAAACACGGGCGAAATATAAGCAAAGCCTATCTAACAATATGAGCTACATAATACATACAATATATACGCAAAATCCAAAAATGTCTTGCTAAAGGCCGTTTAGTTTTGGTTAAATCATATATTAAAATAAGGTTCTAGTTGTCACAATTTTCGTTAAAATGAGATTTTCATTATTCACATATAAAGAATTTGTCCTTATGGCCGACACATTATAGCTATGCATGAATTATTAAGGAAGGCACAATCTCACTTTTTTTTTTTTTTTTTTTTTTTTTTTTTTTTTTTTTGTTATATAAAAGGTTTTCGTGAAACATATAGTATTAAGTTGCTGAAGTTGGAAGTTATTTTATACGCCTGACTACAAAATCTTTTGAAGATTTTCTAAAGACATTATTGAAAACGATAATATAAAACAATTTTCATCTTAAGATGAATGTTGTTTTTCCTTTCAAAAAGTAGTCTTTGGTTCAAATTCTTGTGAAATTTAGTTTTTTAAAATTGACTTTCTTTTTAAAAACTTTACAAAAAATATAGAAAGCTTTTATACTAAAAACGAAAATTTGTTCCTACATGTTGCATGTGCTTCTTAATACGCCACAATGTCTTGCTAAAGGACGTTTTTATTCATGCAGTTGCTCACAAAAAAAAAAAAAAAAGAGTTCGAGTTTGAGTCTATATTAAATATATATAAACGTTAATACTTTTATATAGAAAAATTATTCAAGCAAGCAATGTATAGAATATACACCTTTATCCAAGGATCGATGGAAAATATGTTGGCTGCCGATCAATAATATCCAAGAGAAAACACCAAAAACATTCGCACTACAAGAATATTAAACTGAGGTGACGACGCTATCCCGACGACAAACGTCGTCGGTACAGGTACCCTATGCCGACGACAAGTTGTCGCCATAGCTTTTGAAACTTTTGACCAATTTCCTTTGACCACTATATCTGTGCTGACGATAAGTCGTCGCCATAGGTCTGGCGGGAACGACGAAAATGTTGGCGGTAAGTTGAAAATCTATACCGACGACGTGTCGACGATATAGGTAAAAAAAAAGTATTTTCCATTTATTTTTATTCCAAGTGCCAGAAAATGTAAACGACGTAGTTTTGGGATACCCTATGCCGAAGACAAGTCGTCGGCACATGGTTTTTAATATATATATATATATATATATATATATATATATATATATATATATATATATATATATATATATATAAAAGGAATAAGTGAGACGTCGTCGTTTATGTCGATCCTATACAGACAACATGTTGTCGGCATAGGGGTATACCCTAAAGCAGATACGCAACTTTCTTTCATTTGCACACAGCGACTTCTTTCTCCATTCTATCCTCCCAAGCATGAAATCGGCTACCCAACGACAATATCCAGCGATTAAGCCAATACAAGGTTGTTTCTACCCCTAATTTGTTTTTTATTGTGTTTTGGTATTGATTTTTACCCCTAATTTGGGTTTTTTTTGGTGTTTAGGAACCGGTGGTGAAGCTCCACCGATCTAGTGACTGCCTCACCCTTCCACCGTCTAGTGTTGCCGCCTGTGGCCACCACCAGCCACCACCGGAGTATTACTTGCTTCTTTGACTAGCCAAAAAAACGGAACATCACAAGAACAAAAGGTTAGTTTTTTCTCCCCTAATTTTTATTGAAATTGAAATTGAATTGTGTTGAAATTGTTTGTTGTTTGTATATATATGTGATTGTGTTTGTATATATATATGTGATTGTATATATGTGATTGTGTTTGTATATATATATGTGATTGTGTTGTATATATATGTGATTGTTGTTTGTTGTATATATATGTGTTGTTGTTTGTTGTTTTTTTCTAATTGTATTGTTTGTTTTGTATATATATGTGATTGTGTTGTTGTTTGTTTAGGCTTATACTTTAAACAAATTAATTTTATGAAATTGATATTGTTTAGGTTGGTATATGAAATTGATATTGTTTATGTTGGCATATGAAATTGATATTGTTTAGGTTGGTATATGAAATTGTATGAAATTGATGTTTTTTAGGTTGGTATATGAAATTGAAATTGTTTAGGTTGGTATGAAATTTTATGTGATCTTTGTTTAGGTTGGTATGAAATTTTGTATGATTGTGATCTTTGTTTAGGTTGGTATAAAAGTTTATGTATAAAATGTAAAATATGTATGAATTGTGTTTAATTTATTTAGTTATTAATAGCAACATATATATATATATATATATATATATATATATATATATATATATATATATATATATATATATATATATATAATCTTTTTAGTAAAAGTATTTTATTTTCATTTCTATTTGAAAGTTATAACATAAAACAAAATAATAAAATTACGCTGTTATTAAAAGTAATATTAAAAGTATTTTTTTAATCTTGTTTATGGTGATATATATATATATATATATATATATATATATATATATATATATATATATTAAAACTATTTTTTATCTTGTTTATGGTGCTATTAAAAGTAATATTAAAAGTATTTTTTTATCTTTAGTATTCTCCGTGATTGATCTTTCGATCATATATGTTTGAACCATCTTAATGTTTTAAACAAACTAATAAACTTTAATGTCA